GGGAGAGTGGAGGCCTACCGAGCGAGAGAGGAGGCCTACCGGTTGGGAGAGAAGGCCTACCGGTCGAGAGAGGAGGCTTGCCGGGCGAGAGAGGATGCCTACCCGGGGAGAGAGCAGGCCTAACGGGCGAGAGAGTAGGCGTGCCGGGCGAGAGAGCAGGCCTACTGGGCAAGAGAGGAGGCCTGCCGGGCGAGAGAGGAGGCCTGAAGGGCGAGAGAGGAGGCCTACCGGGCGAGGGAGGATGCCTACCGGCCGAGAGAGGAGGCCTATCGGGCAGAGAGGAGGCCAACCGGTCAAGAGAGGAGGCCTGCCGGGTGAGAGAGGACGCCTTCTGGGCGAGAGAGGAGGCCTACGGGGCGAGAGAGGAGGCTTACCTGGCGAGAGAGGAGGCTAACCAGGCGAGAGAGGAGGCTTACCGGGCTAAAGAGGAGGCCTACCAGGTGAGAGAGGAGGCCTACCGGGCGAGAGAGGAGGCCTACCGGGCGAGAGAGGAGGCCAACCGGGGGTGAGAGGAGGCCTACCGAGCGAGAGAGGAGGCCTACCGAGCGAGAGAGGAGGCCTACCAGGCGAGGGAGGAGGCCTACCGGGGGAGAGAGGAGGCCTACCGTGGGAGAGAGGAGGCCAACCGGGGGAGAGAGGAGGCCTACCGTGGGAGAGAGGAGGCCAACCGGGGGAGAGAGGAGGCCTAGCGGGCGACAGAGGAGGCCTACCGGCCGAGAGAGGAGGAATGCCGGGTGAGAGAGGAGCTCACGCAAGGGACCTTAGGGAAGTGAGCTCAGGGAAGTCTTCTTAGGGATGTGAGCTTAGGGATGTGAGCAGAGGGAAATGAGCACACTCAAGTGAGCTCAGGGATCAAGCTCACTCAAGTGAGCTCAGGGAAGCGAGTTCAGTGAAGCGAGCTGAGGGAAGTGAGGTCAGGAAATCGAGTTGAGGGATGTGAGCTCAGGGATGTGATCTCAGGGACGCTAGCTCACCCAAACTTTGCTCAGGAATGAGAGCTCACTTAAGTGAGCTGAAGTAAGTGAACGGAGGTAATTGGGCTTACACAAGTGAGTTCTGGGAAGTGAGCTCAGGGATGTGAGCTCAGTGAAGTGAGCTCACTTAAGTGAGCTTAAGTGAGCTTAGTGCTGTCGCACTTCTGTGGTGCTGTGGCACTTCCGTGGTGCTGTGGCACTACCGTGGTGCTGTGGCACTACCGTAGTGCTGTGGCACGACCGTGGTGCTGTGCACTATCGTGGTGCTTGTGCACTACTGTGGTGCTTGTGGAGTACTGTGGTGCTGTGCACTAGTGTGGTGTTGTTCACTACCGTGGTGCTTGGGCACTACCGTGCTGCTTGTGCACTATGGTGGTGCTATGCATTACCTTGGTGTTGTACAGCACAACGGTGGTGCTGTGCATTACCACGGTGCTGTGCAGCATTACGGTGGTGCTGTGCTCTACTGTAGTACTTGTGCACTGCCGTGGTGCTGTGCTCTACCGTAGTATTTGTGCACTACTGTGGTGCTGTGCACTATAGTTGTGCTTGGGCTCTACTGTGCTGCTTGTACACCGCCATGGTGCTTGTGCACGACCGTGGTGCTTGTGCAGTTCTGTGGTGCTGTGCACTACTGTGGTGCTGTTCACTACCGTGGTGCTTGGGCACTACCATGCGGCTTGTGCACTACCGTGGTGCTGTGCATAACCGTGGTGCTGTGCTCTACCGTAGTACTTGTGCATTACCTTGGTTCTGTGCACTACTGTGGTAGCTTGTGCACTACCGTGGTGCTTGGGCACTACCGTGGTGCTTGGGCACTATCGTGGTGCTTGTACACTACCGTGGTGCTGGTGCATTGTTCACTACCGTGGTGCTTGTGCATTGTGCACTACCATGGTTCTTGTGCAGTATCATGGTTCAGTGCACTACCATGGTGCAGTGCACTACTGTGGTGTTGTGCATTACCCTGGTGCTTGTGCACTATCGTGGTGCTTCTGCTCTACCATGGTGCTTGGGCACTACCGTGGTGCTTGTGTATTGTGCATGTGAGAGTTCGACGCTGTTACACCAATTTCCCCTTTCTATATTTCCTTTCTATTTTATTTCTCTTTTTATCATGATTTATTTGGTCTTTATCTCATCTTATTTGGTTTTCTATTACTCATTCTCCATAATCCTTTGGTTTATCCTGTCATTATAATTATATCACCGACCAGGCTCGGGGATGTACTGGCGCGCTATATTTAGCTTAATCTTGCCGTCATCCCTTCAAGCCAATAACCTCGCGTGGCTATACGCAGGGTGATTTTATTTCTAGAAGGGTCTATTTCCTTTGGATAATATAAACCTGGTTACCTGATGTACTCTGGAAGTATAAAAGCAGCTTGTACTCATGGATAGTGCAACACTGAGCAAACCTCATTCGATCCTGTGACAGTGCACTACCGTGGTTCTGTGCACTAACGTAGCGCGTGTGCACTACGGTGCTGCTTGTGCAGTACCGTCGTGCTTGTGCACTACGGTGGTTCTTGTGCACTACCGTGGTGCTTGTGCAGTATCGTGGTGTTGTGCACTACCACGGTGCTTGGGCACTACCGTGGTGCTTGGGAACTGCCGTGGTGCTTGTGCACTACCGTGGTGCTTGTGCACTACCGTGGTGCTTGCGCACTACCGTGGTGCTTGTGCACTTCCTTGGTGTTGTGCACTACCGTGGTGGTGTGCACTACCGTGGTGCTTGTGCACTACCGCGGTGCAGAACCGTGGTTGGACGCCAGCCACCCTCACCTGGAAGCCACCCGCCCTTACCTGGACGCCACCCACCCTCACCTGGACGCCACCCACCCTAAGCTGGACGCCAGCCACCCTCAGTTGGACGCCAGCCACCCTTACCTGGACGCCAGCCACCCTCCGTGGTGCTCCAGCCACCCTCAGAAGGACGCCAGCCACAATCAGAAGGACGCCAGCCACCCTCAGCTGGACGCCAGCCACCCTCAGCAGGACGCCAGCTACCCTTAGCCAGACGCCAGCCAGTTATAGCTGGACGCCAGCCACCCTCAGCTGGAAACCAGCCACCCTTACCTGGACGCCAGCCACCCTCCGTGGTACTCCAGCCACCCTCAGAAGGACGCCAGCCACAATCAGAAGGACGCCAGCCACCCTCAGCTGGACGCCAGCCACCCTCAGCAGGACGCCAGCTACCCTTAGCCAGACGCCAGCCAGTTATAGCTGGACGCCAGCCACCCTCAGCTGGAAACCAGCCACCCTTACCTGGACGCCAGCCACCCTCCGTGGTACTCCAGCCACCCTCAGTTGGACGCCACCCACCCTCAGCTGGATGCCAGCCACCCTCAGCTGGTCGCCAGCCACCCTCGGAAGAACGCCAGCCACCCTCAGCTGGACGCCAGCCACCCTCAGGTGGACGCCAGTTACCCTTAACCGGACGCCAGCCACACATAGCTGGACGCCAGCCACCCTCAGCTGGACGCCAGCCACCCTTACCTGGACGCCAGCCACCCTCCGTGGGACTCTAGCCACCCTCAGTTGGAAGCCACCCACCCTCAGCTGGATGACAGCCACCCTCAGCTGGACGCCAGCCACTCTAAGCTGGACGCCAGCCACCCTCAGTTGGACGCCAGCCACCGGACGCCCGCGGCACATAGCTGGTCTCCAGCCACCCACCCTATGCTGCACGCCAGAAACCCATAGCTGAACGCCACCCAACCTCAGCTGGACGCCAGCCACACATAGCTGCCAGAACCGGCCAGCACCAGCCAGCATCTGCCAGCACCTGCCAGCACCTGCCAACACCTGCCAGCACCTGCCAGCACCTGCCAGCACCTGCCAGGAGCTGCCAGGAGCTGCCAGCACCTGCCAGGAGCTTCCAGGAGCTGCCAGCACCTGCCAGGAGCGGCCTGCACCTGCTAGCATCTGCCAGCACTTGCCGACACCAGCCAGCACCTCCCAGCACCGGCCAGAACCAGCCAGCACCTGCCAGTGGCCGAGCTTCTTACCCAGTGGCCGAGCTACTTACCCAGTGGCCGAGCTACTGCTCCTGTGGCCGAGGTACTGCCCCTGTGGCCTAGCTACTTACCCAGTGGCCGGGCTGCTTACCCAGTGGCCGAGCTACTTACCCAGTGGCCGAGCTACTTACCCAGTGGCCGAGCTACTGCCCCAGTGGGCGAGCTACTTACCCAGTGGCCGGGCTGCTTACCCTGTGGCTGAGCTACTTACCCAGTGGCTGAGCTACTTACCCAGTGGCCGAGCTACTGGCCCAGTGGCCGAGCTACTTACCCAGTGGCCGAGCTACTTGCCCCATGAATGCTAGTTTGATAGTGCAGTCGTTGAAGGATAGACTCGAGCAGATGGTGCAGCCGCGGCTGTCAGACGCGCTCACACACAGCAAGGTGGGGGGCTGCCGACCATCGACCGTCGGCTGTCGGCTGTCGGCTGTCGGCTGTCGGCTGTCGGGCGTCGGCTGTCGGGCGTTGGCTGTCAGTCGTCGGCTGTCGGGCGTCGGCTGTCGGTCGTCGGCTGTCGGGCGTCGGCTGTCGGGCATCGGCTGTTGGGCGTCGGCTGTCGGGCGTCGGCTGTTGGTCGTCGGCTGCTGGATGTCGGGCACTGGGTGTCGGTCGTCGGCTCAAGGGCGTCGGCTGTCAGGCATCGGGCGTCGGCTCTCGGCTCTCGGCTGTCGAGCGTCGGCTGTTGGGCGTTGGTTGTCTGTCGTCGGCTGTCGGGCGTGGGCGCTGTCTGTCCTTGGCTGTTTGTCGTCGGCTGTCGGTTGTCGGGTGTCGGTGAGCGTCTGAGCCTCTCTGGCAGGTGTCTGAGCTGCCCTCGTGACAGCAGCATTGCAAGTTCCCTTGGTGGCTCTCGCACCAGGCAGTCGAACAGGAGTGGAGGTGGTGCCTGTTGCGTTCCCCCACCAGGCAGCACCAGCACTATTTCGTTGACGGCCCTTTCCACAGGCCTTTCATTCCTCCCTCCTCCTCCCTGCTTCCATCTTCCTCCCTCCCCCCTCCCCACCACCAGGTCCACTGGCAGCGGCGTTACAATTCCCTGAGTGGTTACTGCACTGGTAGTGGAGCACGAGGCCAGGTGGTGCGTGGCTGCGTTCCCCCATCAGGCGGCACCGCTGCTGCTGTGCCTGCTCATTGCCACCTGGGACAGGCTGTCAAACAGCTTCACTGCCCGCGCTGCTGCTGCTGCTGGTGAAATAAGCAGGCTTGGGGTGGTAGGGCGGCTGTGTCTCCCTCAGCCACCCTCACCAGGTCGCCACCAACCCTCGGCTGGACTCCAGCCACCCTATGCCCTCTATCCCTATCCCCTCTATCCCTATCCCCTCTATCCCTATCCCCTCTATCCCTATCCCCTCTATCCCTATGCCCTCTATCCCTATCCCCTCTATCCCTATCCCCTCTATCCCTGTGCCCTCTATCCCTATCCCCTCTATCCCTGTGCCCTCTATCCCTATGCCCTCTATCCCTATCCCCTCTATCCCTGTGCCCTCTATCCCTATGCCCTCTATCCCTATCCCCTCTATCCCTGTGCCCTCTATCCCTATCCCCTCTATCCCTGTGCCCTCTATCCCTATCCCCTCTATCCCTATCCCCTCTATCCCTATGCCCTCTATCCCTATGCCCTCTATCCCTATCCCCTCTATCCCTGTGCCCTCTATCCCTATCCCCTCTATCCCTGTGCCCTCTATCCCTATCCCCTCTATCCCTGTGCCCTCTATCCCTATCCCCTCTATCCCTATGCCCTCTATCCCTATCCCCTCTATCCCTATCCGTCCTATTCCTAACCCTTCTATCCTTTTCGCCTTTCCCCCTAAACCCTCTATCCCTTCCTCTTTTATCCCTATCCCCACTGTTCCTCTCCCCTCTATCTCAATGCCCCTCTATCCCTATCCCCTCTATCCCTATTCCCTAATTGGTCCGTTGTATTTATTAGAGGAAGAGTACAGGCAAGGCATGTGGACACCCACAATGGTAAGTCCTAACAGCCCGGGCCGGAGGACCCTAAGGGTCCCCCAGCACTGGCTCAAGTACTTGAAGAAGATCCCCCACGGGCAGCGGCTCCGCTTGCATGCCCCAGGGCGCCTCCTCGGCCGCCAGGGCGTGGTTGATCTTGGTGCTCAGAGCCACAGCTTGCCCCCGCTGGAGAGTGACGGACCCACCGCTGCCGGTACTCATGGAAGAGCTTGGCAGCTTCGCGCAAGGTAGGTGCCGCATTGTACCGCTTCTTCGCGGCCAGCTCCGCGCATTGGCGGAGGAACCCGAAGACCCCCGGCGTGGTGAGCCCAAAAGTCTCTGCCGCCATGGCAAAGAAGCCAACCCACTCGTCCAGAACCCACTCTGTACTTATTTTCCTTCCCCCGGGCCGCCACCCATGCAGCCCAGCCGGTCCCCTTGCGGGTGTGCGGGTCCTCTTTGGAGATAGGATCGGTGACAGTGACGTCACACAGCCATACCGCCCCCGTGTAGCGGTGGCGGATGGCGACGTCCGCCCACAAGTTGGCCACCCTCGAGAAGAGGTTGGTCTCCTTGCGCGTGATGAAGCCGGCCTCAGTGGCTATGCGAGCGCACTCATCACAAAGACCGTGATGGGTGCCCGTTCGTCCAGGGCCCCTTGGCACACCTGAGGAGGTGGTTGGGCAAGCGGGGGTCCTGGATGGGCTTGCGCTTGGGGCAGTCACACACGTGGGGCGTTGAGAACGGGAGGCCGAGGCGGAAGGCAACTGCCGTGGAAAACTGGCCGGGGGAGAGGCGTAAGGCGGAGGCCATGGGGAGGGCGTGGAGCCAGTCGCCAGGCCCAGGGCCCACCAAGGACAGGAGGCGCTGAGTGTGCCCCTGTAGCGGGTTGAGCGGCATCTGGCGAGCCTGGTCAAGCAGGAGCGTATAACCCTCTGCCTGCACTTGCAGCGCCAGAGCACGCTGCAGCTTGGGCGGGTCTGGGGAGGCGCGCTCGCGCTGCAGCTACTCAGCAGCCGAAGGGGGAAGGGCTATCCCTATTCCCTCTTTCCCTATCCCCACTATCCCTATCCCCACTATCCCTATCCCCACTATCCCTATCCCCACTATCCCTATCCCCACTATCCCTATCCCCACTATCCCTATCCCCACTATCCCTATCCCCACTATCCCTATCCCTATCCCCACTATCCCTATCCCCACTATCCCCATCCCCACTATCCCTATCCCCACTATCCCTATCCCCACTATCCCTATCCCCACTATCCCTATCCCCCCTACCCCTATCCCCTCTATCTCTAGCAGGTCAGCGGGTCAGCGGATGAGCGGGTGAGCGGATTAGCGAGTCAGCGGATCAGCGGGTCAGCGGGTTAGTGGGTCATCGGGCTAGCAGCGGGTTAGCGGGTTAGCGGGTCAGCAGGTAAGTGGGTGAGTGGGTCAGTGGGTTAGCGGCTCAGCGTGTCAGTGGGTTAGTGGGTCAGTGGGTCAGCCGGTTAGCCGGTCAGCGGGTTAGCGGGTTAAAGGGTCAGCGGGTTAGCGGGTCAGCAGGTTGTTAACAGTTTAGCGGGTCAGCAGATTCGTGGGTCGGCGTGTGAGCGGGTAAGCAGGTCAGCGGGTGAGCGGGTTAGCGGGTCAGCAGGGGGTTAGCAGATTAGCAGGTCAGCGGGTTAGCGGGTTAGGGGGTCAGCGGGTTAGCGGGTCAGCAGCGGGTTAGCAGTTTAGTGGGTCAGCAGATTCGCGGGTTGGCGGGTGAGGGGGTAAGCGGGTCAGCGGGTCAGCAGGGGGTTAGCGGGTCAGCGGGTCAGCTGGTCTGTGGGCTAGCGGTTAAGTGGGTTAGAGGGTTGAGCTGGCTCTTAAAGAGCGAGCAGGAATACTCGCGCGTTACAGCGGAAAAGGCTACTTCTTCTTCATTCTCAGCTTGTTTCCCCTGACAGCTTGTTGCTTCTTCAAGCATCAGGAAGCTAGGCTACTACCAACCAGCCGTTCGCCTTTCCTCGGTTTCACGACCGCCATGGTTGCTGTCAGGAACTTCAACCCCGACAATGTCAGCTCAAAGGTCATCAGTTGTGACATCCAACAAAAGATTCTTCCTTGTCTCGTCAGCGTGGATATAACGACCTACTTTTCGTGTTCAAACAGAGAACATTTGGTCAACTTACTATGCAACGAAGATCATAATCAAGGTTAAGTCATCTGAAGTTAATGGGCTAACATCCATGAGATTTCTACTTTTTCCTATAGCACCTACCAGCGAGAGTTATCGACGACGCAACACAAGATGAGAAATTTTTTTGTAGTAAAAAATTTACAGATTGTGATTCGACTAGAAGAGGAGTTTGCTGTAAAGGAGACAAACTCCTTCATCTATCGGCAGGTCTTTCAGACCTGCCACCTAGTCTCATTTGCATTTTTCTGTTCCAACTTGTATACCACCAGCACACTCTAAACCTCTATGCCCAGATCTGGGCATAGAAGTCTCTTGCTGCAAGACGTTATTTCTGTTAGATACTCTACAATGGTTAGCGGACTCATTTCCGCTGCAAGTGGTAGGCCTCCTGCTCCTCGTGTGAATACTAGGAGTGGTGGAAGGCGTGGGTCCCCTGTACGTGAGGGGGACCGAAACTCTTCATCTCAGCATAGAGAACGATTTCGTTCTCCTCGTCCTGGCGGAGGTAACGGCGCAGTTACCGCTTTGGATTTGCTGAGTGGCGCGCGTCAAGACCCTGTTCAGCACGTCGAAAACGCGGCAGGGGACGCGGATCGTAACACGTCACGCAATCGCGATTTCCCCCCCGGATTTCAAGGCGAGCGGCGTAACGAGCAGAACCGCGTCGACACGAACCCGACTGCCGAAAACGCCCCCTCCCGGCCCCCACCTACCGAACGCAATCATGACGGTCCTGCGCGCGAGGACCACAATCATGATCGTGATACTGCGCGCGCAGGGCGTCATCATGAGCGCGATCTCAACGCCCCAGCGCCCCAGATTCGCCAGGATCGCCAGGATCGGGACCGGGATCGCGCAGATCGCCGCACAGATTTTGCTCCTGCCGCAGTGAATCCGCGCGGGATTCCGCAGATCTCGACCCCTGGAGCAGCAGAAATCGCCGAAATGATTGCGCGCCTGGATCCTGCAGCCCAGCGCAATCTCCAGCGAATCTTCACAGGAGCTGCTGGCGAACGCGTTACAGCACGCTCCACTGCATCTACAGCGCCTCATTCTGCAGAACATAATTCTGCTCGCTACACCGACAACAATGTTAACGCCGGCACCAACAACGAGGCCATTCACCACGTTCTTGGTCTTCTCGCGGCGCTCCAGCGTGGCAATGGCGCCGATCCCGCACCGCCACCGGAACCAGCACGCGTCGCAGCGACGGTGGCCCCACGCTCTCGCCTCCCGGCGCCCGCCCCCGAGCCCGTTGACGACGAAATGGACGAGGAAGCACCCCATGCCACGCTCGACGAAGGTAATGCCGCCCGCCCGAAATCCGCTTCTGCATCGCTCACTCTCGCTCCTATTCCACCTGCACGTCCTCAGTTGCGCTCTTCCTTAGGTAAAAGCGATGGAATTCGTACGCAACTTTTTAGTTTTGAGCGCATTCAAGCTATTGCACGTCATGCTATCTCGGTTTTACCACTTGACGGTGGAGAACAAGCCGCCGACTATCTCCAGCAGATAGTAGAGGAGGCGGAAGAGAAGATTCATTTTTTGTTTACCGCCGATCAACGCGGTTTCGAAGTGGCCAATATGGCCCTTAAGATTAAGTATGGGGAAGTGGTAGAGGATAAGAATGTGAAGGCCGCTTCTCAGATTGTAGCGGCCAGCAAGAAGAGGCCCACTCGGCCCACCCATCCCACCTCCCGTCCTGAACCCCCTCTTCGCCCTCGCGGCCAAGGGGAGCGCCTTTGGAACACATGGCGTAGGGACGGCGACGGCCGTTGTTTCTATTGCCGTGAACCCGGGCATGGGATGGCTAATTGCCCCCAAAGGGGCCAAGGGGCCAATCGGCCAGCTAAGATTGTGTAAAGTTTGCTTAACCTCTCCGATGTTGTAGCGTTCTTAATTTAAAAAAAAAAAAAAAAAAAAAAAAAAAAAAAAAAAAACACACACACACGCACATTTGTGCATTCAAGCAAGATTAATACGCGCGTCATACGGCCACATGGTCTTGCACGTTGGGCCCGTGCAAGAAGACGTGAGCGTGCCCACAAGACGCATACACAATGTGTGTGCGTCCTTTAAAGACTGACGTTGATAAGATTCATCACAAGATTTCTATGTCCATCGCAAAAAAAAAAAAAAAAAAAAAAAAACCGTATGCTCGCAAAACGATTGCGTAGCATTTGCGCAAATGCTTTGCAAACGTTTTGCGAACATGTGGGTGAACACTCCTGGCGGACTAAGATTAGAACACTTGGCGAATGCTTTGGCAACATTTCCCGAAACACTTTTTGGTTCACGACAAGGAATATATGACGACCAACTACAGCCCAAAATGCCAAGTTCACATTCCCAACCCATAGTTTATCACTTAAGGGATGACGTGGCCGAATAATAGCGAGCAAGCGTGCACCTATATCTAGCGTTTGCCTTCCTTCCAAAAAAAAAATAAAAAAAAATCGTTGCGTTCGGAACTACATGAGGTACCTTCCTGATTCTCTACCGTCCCTATTTGTGTTCCCTCTCCTACCAGAGCTCGGAACCATTTCGGCCTATGCCGATGACGCAACCAAGATTACCCGCATGCAAGGCCGCCTCCGTGACCGCGCTGCATGGTGGTCCGCCTGGTGCGACAGCCGCTTGATTCTATCGGTGATTACATCTGGATATCGCCTACCATGGGTTGCCTCTGAGCCCCCTCCGTCTCGTACTAAGAACCATGCCGGTGCTTTGCAATTCACCTCTTTCGCCGTAGGCGCAGTGGCCGAGCTTCTCGCCACCGGCGCAGCTCGGGTCGTTCCTCCTTCCACAACCCTCACATGCGTTAGCCCCTTAAACGTGATTGTCCAACCCTAAAAAAAGAGACTGATATTGGATTTGCGGCATGTCAACTCATTCCTCTCAGTACCTCGTTTTCGATACGAAGGACTTACTCGCGTTCCTGATTTGGTGCAAGAAGGCGATTGGCTATTCACGATCGATCTCAAATCTGGATACCACCACGTCGACATTCACCCCGCTTTCTGGCAGTTTCTCGGATTCTCCTTGCAAGGGCAGGACTACCAATTCCTCTCTTTGCCTTTCGGGCTGGCTACAGCGCCGTTTGTGTTTACCCAGTTAATTAAGCAACTCGCCAAACGCTGGCGTAGCCGTGGCATCCGCCTTATTCCATACGTCGATGATATCCTATTCATCAGTGCCACTCGAGCGGAGGCTCTTCACAACCGCTCCATAATCATTGCCGACCTCGCAGCCGCGGGCTTTGTTGTGAATTTCAAAAAATCACAACTCGCACCGGCACAATCTTTGAAGTTCTTGGGCCTCTTGCTGGACACGCGCACCACCACTTTCTCGGTCGATGCGGATCGGCGCAACCGGCTTTTTGCCGAGCTGGATGAATTAGGCACACTCGGCACTAACGGGCGTCGCATCCCTGTTCGCCGCGCTGCCCGCATCACCGGCATGTTGGCCTCCATGTCCTTGGCGCTTGGCACTGTCGCGCGCGCTTTCTCCCACCACCTTCTTACGCAGATCGCCGAATGCCACTCATGGGGGGCGGCCATTCTCCTCACCCCTGAGTCTGTTGAAGAACTGCGATTTTGGCTTACACAGTTCGACGTTTTCAACGGCGCCCGCTTCCACAACCCGCATTTGTACGACGTGGTCATGTACGTGGATGCTAGCGACCATGCTTGGGGGGCTTGTTATTCAGCGCCGGATGGTCGTGTCGGCTCGCTCTCCTCCCCGCTGCCTCTAGCCCTCTTGGGCTCGTCCAGTACCCTTCGCGAGCTGGCCGGAATCTTTTGGTCCCTTTCGGCCTTTTCTGTCGAAATCCGACGTTCGCACATCTTGCTCCGCAGCGACAGTCAGGCGGCCTACTACATCCTCCAGAAGGGAGGCTCTCGCCGTCCCGAGCTTACCTTCGTATGCCGCGCGATTATTCAATTGTGCGTGCGCCATATGATCCGTCTTACGGTCCAATGGATTCCCCGTGCGCTGAATACCGAGGCTGACGCTCTGTCCAAGATTGAGCTCCACGACGACTACTCCTTGACACGACCTTGGTTCCGGCTGCTTGAGAGGCATTGGGGGCCTCATACTATCGACTTGTTCGCATCCCCTGCCAATGCGCAGCTCGCTCGTTTCTGCTCCCTCGAGTTCTCACACTCTGCGGTTGCGCAAGACGCTTTTTCTATCAATTGGGGCCACGAGAATTGCTTCGCCTTTCCTCCACCCACCCTCATCCCGGCTGTCCTAGCTCATGCCCGTCGCTCGCGCACTTCTCTCACTCTCGTGATCCCATATTGGCCTAGTGCCTTTTGGTGGCCTTTGCTAAGCTTGGACGGCTCCACTTGGGGCCCGGAGGTCGTTATGGCCCTTCGCCTTACCCTTGGTGCTAGTTGTTTACGCGTTGGCAGTGACCGTCATGCCTTTAGCGGTGCTGGTCTTCCGAACTCTCCGATGTATGCGCTTCGTTTTGCATTCAACTAATGTATCAATTTATTTCACTGCGCAGGCTCATATATTGGTCGATTATTGTCGGACCTTCTCACACTCACCGTTGATCTTCGGGCGAAGTCTACCCTTCGCACTTACGAACCCTACTGGCGACAGTTTCGAGCCTTCTGTTTGGCGCACTCACTTCCCTTCCTTCCCGCCACCGACCTGACAGCGTCCCTCTTTCTGCTGCACTCGGTCCGTCGCGGCGCTACTGTCTCAGCTGTGCGCACTGCGTGTTCCGCCATATCCTGCGCCCATTGGCTGGTTGGCCACCCCTCCCCGATTCGCGGCCCCTTTTCTTCGCAAGTCAAGGATTATGCCATGCGTCATTGTGGCAAGCCATCTCAAGCTAAGGAGCCCATTCCTCCAGCCAAGATTTACGATATCTGTGACATCTACTTCTCATCGCATGATCCGGCCACATTCCAGCGGGGCCTTATTCCCCTCCTCATGTTCGCAGCCTTCCTTCGTTTCTCTGATCTCGTCTCCCTCCAGTGGCACCAGATCGAGTTCGATCGGGACTGCATGTGGTTGTTCATCCCTCGTTCGAAGACCGACCAAGCTGGCACCGGTGTTTGGGTCCCAGTGGCTGCTTCTTCTGCCCGCCACTGTCCGGTGTCGCGTGTCCAACAATTCCTCTTCCTGGCTGGCTATTCTCCGCGGACCCTTGGCCCCCTTATTCGTATATTTCAGCCGGGTGCCCGAGCTTCCCCCTCAGATCGCTCTCCCTCGTACGCGGCCATTCGGGGTTGGTGTCGAGATGCTTTCTCCCGTGTAGGCCTTAACCCGGCCCTCCTGGGCACCCATTCTTTCCGCAAGGCGGCTGCGACGGTCGCCGTTGATATTGGAGTCCCCGACCGGCTTTTCAAGGCCCTAGGTCGCTGGCGAAGTGATACAGCCAAGGAGCTTTACATTACTCAGCTTGACCGCGAGCTAGTGGCTGCTTCTCGCGCGCTACAAGATCCTACTCGCTCGAGCGCGACCGATCAATACCAGGCCACCCTCGAGCGCCACCGCCGATGACCTACCACTTGATGTCTCGTTTGACCTATGACGACTGCACTGCACACTCCTCTGAGGTCGTGTCACAATCGGTGATACGGGGTTTCCTGTATGCAGGACAGATAAAGAAGTACTTTCTGAGAACGTCATACAGAATCGAGAAAAGCCATTGCTACCATGGACGGACCCTCGACGTGAGAAGACCAAGAATTCTCCAGAAGCAACCGAAGCAAATCCAGATTCGACAGAAGCAAGTGTCTATGATCTGACCCTGCCTGAAGATGTGCTGAAGGATTTTTTCAAAAGGGAACAACCCAGTATTTTAAAGGAGCATGAAGGAGTGTCCACTTCCAGCGTGGTTGTTGAAGAAATTGAAGATGAAGTTATTTTTCCCAACATGATTCCTGACAATGGAGGCATTGGGAAGTTCCAAGAATTTCAACTAATGACCTAGGTGGATCCCCAAGTTAAGGATCTACAAGAGATTTTTATGAAGATGGAAGACGCCGATCTCATTTGGCAGAATACTACTGAGAGATCTGAAAATAACATGGCCCGGCATTCACGGGGAGAGCCTGCGGCGATTACTTTCCTGGGCTCAGTCCTGAATCCAATCAGACTTTCGTTACGACAGCAGAGTCCGCTTGGGAACGTATTCCGAGGAGAGAGACTGGAACAGAAGCTGAAGATGCTACAATCTCCCGTCACCTCAATCCACTGAGAATTTTCGGCAATTTCCCTGTGACAACGCCCCACCTACTGTTAAAATAGCTCTAGGCTAGGATACTAGGCAGGAACAAGGCAGCCATGAATGTGGGGGCGGGGTTTAGTTAGGAGTTGGACGAGAGTGTCGAGAGAGAAGAGAGTTGGATTAGGAAGAGAGAGGAGTACAAGGAGGGGTTTGTACCCCCTACAGAAAGGTTCAGTAACAACCTACCAAGCCTATATTAAATTATAACTCATATAATTTGAACACACCCCCTAGGCTTGGTAGTGTCAAGCCCACTCACACCCCCACCCACCACACACCCCCTAACCTAGCACCCCCATTCTAGCCACAGTGACAGCGACACTAGGTCGGTCGACCCCGCGGCGCGTGAGGCGGCGACGTCGACCGCAGGGGCTGCGGCGGCGACGGCAGCAGCGGCGGCAGTGTCGATAGCGGCGGCGGCAGCGGCGTGCGGCTGCGTGGCCCCGACGCAAGCGGCGACAGCGGCGGCGGCGGCAGCTTCGACAACAGCGGCGGCGGAGGCGGCGGCATCCGCACCTCTCGGTGACGTGGCCAGGCCCCACGACGGTGGGACGGCCGGCGGGAGTCAGCCGTCGGCTGCGGCAAGATACAGGACACAAGGGAAGGGGGGCGGGGCGTGGTCCAGCCTCACGCTTGAGGCTGGCGTGCGGGCAGCAGGTGTGGCGGCAACACGAACGTCGCGTGGCAAGCTGCCGTCCGACGACGCTGCCACGGCAGCATTACGACACCGACACATCGCGGCGTCGATGCAGCGGTGGGACGTCGCCACTGCGGCGGTATGCACGGCGCCGTCGCAGCAGTGTGGCATCGACGCCACGCGTCACGACGCGACGGCACGGCAGGAACGGGCATGGCCGCCACGGCGGCACTAAAAGAAGCCGCCGCGGCATCTCGGAGAAGCTGCCACGGCGGCAGGAAGTTGGAAGGCAGTGAACGAGAACGCAGCGGAAGCATGGAAGGGAGCAGGCCCAGGAAGGGCGTCCCGCTCTGATACCATGTTAAAATAGCTCTAGGCTAGGATACTAGGCAGGAACAAGGCAGCCATGAATGTGGGGGCGGGGTTTAGTTAGGAGCTGGACGAGAGTGTCGAGAGAGAAGAGAGTTGGATTAGGAAGAGAGAGGAGTACAAGGAGGGGTTTGTACCCCCTACAAAAAGGTTCAGTAACAACCTACCAAGCCTATATTAAATTATAACTCATATAGTTTGAACACCTACCTCCAACAGAGCACCTGAACCCAACTGCTGCGGAAACCACTTTCTACCGCTCCCGAATCGAAGAAACAGTTGATATAACCCTTTCTCACCATTTTCAGCTAGAAAGACCAAGAGCAATTCACGAAAAGCTGAGAACAGGCGACGCTGCAAGTCAAACCCCAATCGGGCAAGACAAAAGTTTTAGGCATTTGGTTTTTAAACCCCCTTAGTTTTCCTGGGAGGGTACGGTACACGAAACTGTACCTAGGCCCTCTGGATCCGGTTACGACCAGGGTGGTGTTTTTGCATTGAATAATGTACTTTCACCCCAAGTAAAGAGCGAGCACCATTGGCAGCATCAGTGGGAGCAGCGGTGGCAGCAGGACTCGCTGCAAGGCCAGCAGCACTGACAGCAGCGACATGTGGACTGCCCTTGCTGCTTCCTCTGTCTCCAACGCCTTGGTCCCGAGATAAGCTCTTCTCCCCTTTTGCCCGCTCCACCTTTTGGCCCTCCCAAGGTAAGCACTCCACCCCTTGGCCCTCCCGAGATAAGCACTCCACCCCTTGGCCCTCCCGAGATAAGCACTCCACCCCTTGGCCTTCCCGAGATAAGCACTCCACCCCTTGGCCCTCCCGAGATAAGCACTCCACCCCTTGGACCTCCCGAGATAAGCACTCCACCCCTTGGCCCTCCCGAGGTTAGCACTCCGTCCTCCTGAGATAAGCACTCCACCCCTTGCCCCCCTTGATTCGATCTAGTCGCGTGCACCATCTCATCCCGCTCACTCTTTCCCATCCTACTCACTCGCTCCCCCAAACCCCCTGCAAACCCCTCACGTTTGTTCCCCCTCTCTCTCCCTTTCCCCCCCGCACCCCCCCTTCCGCCCATGGCACACAGGCGTTGAGTTGTGTGCGCCACGTCCTGTCTAGGTCTCGTGTTAGGCTAGACTCGATTTTGTGTTTGTGTGCTCGCGTTGCGTCCTTGTTCTGGCTGTTGCTTCTCTCACGCCCTTATTCCCTTGCTATTTCCCCATCACCTCATCCCTCCTCCCCCACAGGCAAGGCTAGCTTTTCTTTCGGACAAAGGCCACAGGCCGGCATAATTTCCTTAAAATTGATTGATTAATTATAAATTTGATCGCACAATGGTCAGCGCCTGTAACTCAGTGGATAGAGTGTTCGCTTCCTAAGCGAGAGGTCCAAGGTTCGACCCCTTGCTGGCGCGGAGATTTTGTTGGGTTACCTGATGCAAACTGTAATGGCCACCATGCTGCCGAAGTGGTTTCTCTCCTTTCCTTCCGCATCTCTCGTTTGTGATGAGAATTTCATGACCCTTACTCTTCCCTTGCCTCCCTCTTCCACGCAGGTCACTCTCTGTCCACGTCATTGCTACAGTTGTGTAAGGCTAGAGGTAAGGTAAGTTTCATGGTAAGGCAGGTGCCCTGCTTTCCCCCCCTCATCTTGAAACAAGTTGGGTGGACCCTCTCTCCGCTCTGCACCACCCACATCTGATGCAGACATTTTCCAGGACTGGTGGGCGTACCAAGCTTTGCAAGTCATGTTAGTGTGTGAAGCACATACAGTATTCTCGTCATCCGATGACAGCCCAAATCCCTAAGGACCATAGGATACGAATGCACTTAAGGTGCCACGCAGGCGCTAACAGGCCGCGCCAGCATTGTGCTTTTACTGTTGCTCAGGATTCACGAGTTCAGCTGACTTTGGACTTGGCAGGGGCTTTCCGCTTCCTGGATGCAAGTTTGGCTGCGGAGCTGCGCATTCCAAGGTACACCAGAAGTGCTCCCAGCAGGGACAGGTTCTGCACAGGCAGAGCACAGGTTCAGCATCGGTAGTAGCAGTAAGGGACACATCGGAGCACAAGTAGAGGTGGTGAATACAAGAGAGCCGTGCATCACACATGTTCCTAATGTCGGCGCATTCATGAATTATACAACAATATTCATTTTCCTGCCATCAGGACAGGCCGAGACAAGCGTCTGAGTGGACGACATAAAGGACACATAAACTCTCGCCAGAAATAGAAATAGCACCTTGAGGAACTGAGAGACTTGCCGCAAGGAGGCTAACCTTGAGGAACTGAGAGACTAGCCGCATGGAGGTTACCTTGAGGAACTGGATGAACTCGTGGATGTACTCTGCACTGTCAGGCTTGAAGTTGTAGAAGTCGTGCATGATGGGGGTGACGGCCACCAGGAATAGCAGCTGGTGGTACGGCAGCAGGGTGGTCAGATGGGAGACGAGATGGGGGAAGAAATGGATGGAGGCGATCAGGAAAAGACTGAGAAGCAAGGTCAGAAAAGCGATAGGCGAACGAGTAGGGCTAAGAGAAATCCTGTCACGACAGACCATAGATGCCGGTTGAGAAGACGAGCAGGGAGAAGATTGTTGATTCTCAAACGCTAAGCAGTAAGATAGCGTGACCCGAGGAGACTCAAGGCGCCTGGGCTGGAGACAACTCACTTCAATGTACTTGTCAGGACGTACCAGGAAATATGCGCCCAGACTGCTTCCGATCGTGAATAGAATTCCACCCACTCCTTCCAACACGATCGCTGTTAGGAGAAGAATCTTAGGCTGCAAGCACACGCATTAAGTAGTGGATAGCCCCGACGAAACGCAATGGAAGAATGTGCGCAAACAGAATGTTTAGACTACTACTGAATAATCCCTTGTGGCGGAAACACATGCGTACAATCTAGAACGCCTGGAAACATCACGATGTCGGTCAACGACGCTTCCAAATACACGTACGTTTCGAGGCAGCACAGAGACGAACAGATGATTCACTTCGACACTAGCCGAAAACTTCGTGGTACTCACATCAACATGCGGAACCGAGAGACCTAACGAGTTCTCCAAGTGACCTTGAAACGTCGCCAGCTTGGGAGCCATGTTCTTCAGCGCGGGACCGCCATCGGGACCGAAATCATTGAATCTGCGTCAGCGTGGATCGGCATTTCAGAGTTAGTGGAATCGATCACCACGGAGCTCCGACAGAGCTCTGACTTGTGCGAAGGAGAAATAAGTCAGAGGTAAATACAAGTTCGCACTTTTGCCATGCTGCGAGGATGAAAATGGCGGAGAAGAAGACTCGACCGATGAACGACGCGAAGCCCATGGCTGGAGCTCGCGAATCCAGGAACCTTACAGGCAGAACTGGTGAAACTAACAGGATAAATCAGTACAACTGCATTCTGAATTCCGGAGCTTTGATTCAGGAAAACTCTCAACTGAGTAGGCGTGTGCTCAGCAGCCAGGGCTGCGCTACAACCTCGGGTATTTCCTCAGGTTGGAAACGTTGCACAAAAGATGTTTAACACGTTGGCACAAAAGATGTTTACACGGTGCACTTCAAGATGTTTACTTACCAACGCAACAAAAGAATTGCAACCACCAATTTCCATCAACACACTTGGAAACGCACACAAGCAAACTTGAGAACCGCGAAAGAGTCTGCGGCTGTAAACTGAGGCACACAGAGCAAGCCACTGTTGGCTTGCTCTTTTTCACACAACTGACTTCACACTTGCTGATGGCATGGCACCCTAGAGCCACACATCCTATGCACACATCCTACGCACACTCCTATGCACACAAAAACGCAGCAAATCAAAAGCGTTAGGCAAACCAAAAGGATTAAAAGAAAGGGGAGGCAACGCTGGGTCGGGCTCTTTGCCCTGCTGTAAACGTGGGGAGCAGGCAGAAGCATGTGCAGCCGCACATGGTACGCCTGAGAAGAGTGACACAGCCCAGCAGATGTACCTTCCAACAAGAGTGTCTTGGTATGGGATGACATTGACACCCAGGGAAGGTGTTCCATCGAACGTGGCCGTCTTACGACAAGACAAGGGGGGAGTGTATTTATGGGCGGGCGGCGATCTGCCCGCGAGTGGTGCCTGAAGCCATGCCTGCGAGCCCAGCAGGCATGCCAGCAGCACCGGCATGCGCAGCAGCATGAGCAGCAGCAGCAGCCGAAAGCTGATGGTGATACTGCTGCTGCTGCTGGTGCAGGTGTTGTTGCTGCTGTTGATGTTGCTGATGGAGTTGATGCTGGTGCTGCTGGAGTTGCTGCTGCTGCTGCTGCTGCTGCTGCTGTTGGTGGGCTTCGTAGTGTTGTTGTTGTTGCTGTTGGTGTTGAGAGGCTGCGACTGCTTGTAGCGAGGATACCATGGATGCGGACAGAGTGATATCAGACGACGGGGACAGCGATACCTCCCCCTCCGCCCCTAGCATAGTGCTCCCCCCGCCCCCTCCGCACAGCAACCCTCCGCCCATGTGTAGCTCCCCCAGGGGCCCCATGATCCCGCCCATGTTTCCCCCCGCAGCAGCGGAGCCCGCGCCATGGGGCAACGAGTGAAATCCGGGGAGAAGCATCATTGCGCCGCCCATTCCGCCGCCCATTCCCCCGCCACTTGCGGCAGCCGCGGCCGCCGCGGCGGCAGCAGCCATGGGATCCCCCGCGCCCCCCAGCATGCCCATCATGCACGCGCTGCTTCCGCCCGCCGCATTCGTCCCCGCCATCAGCATTCCGCCGTGAACATCCATCTTGATGTCCCCCGCGCTCAGCCCCGTGCCCGCGCCCATGTTTGCGCTTAAGCCCCCGCTCATACCCGTGCCCATCCCGCCCGGCCCCATGCCCATGGCAAACGCGCTCATTCCGCCAGCCGCAGCGGCGGCGGAAGTGCCTGGCGGATGCGGCATGAGCGTAAGCATGCCGTGCGGAAGGTGCATAGAGGGGAAGCCGCCGGGCAGGCCGAACCCGCTCATCCCCGCCATCATTCCGCTTCCGCACATGCCCGCGCCACTCATGCTTCCGCCTGCCATACCTCCGCCGGTTCCCCCCGCCGCGCCACTGCCGGACGCTGCAGCGGAAGCGGGTACGGTAGGCGGGGATGAGCGGGGAAGCAGCGCGGGGCTGCCGGTGGACGGCGGAGAGCCGGCGAGCGGAGCGGAGGAGCAAGCCTCGCGCGGCGACATGGGCAGAACGGATGGGGTTGCGCCTGACGGCGACGCGGCGAGTTGGGGAAGCGCATGCGGGTGCGCGGAATGCGGCAGATGCGCGGACGGTTGTAGATGCGTCAACTGCGGCTGCGGCGCTAGCTGCGGCTGCTGCTGCGGCGGGTACATGGCGAGCGAGCCAGCGGCGATCGCAGCCGCCGTGCGACTGTGAAGCGACGAGTGGCGAGTGGGCGGCTGCGACCCCTGGCGGAAGAAGAGAGAGCGAATGGGAGGGAGAGAAGGGGGGGGGGAGGGAAGGAAAGGGAAGGGCGGAAAGGGAGGGAAGGAAGAGAAGCGTAAGGATATAGTGTAAATATGGGCAACGCGAAACGGCCAAGCGCCTGAGTAGTAAGCGGCTGGGAAACCAGCAACAGCTAAACGCTAGACCCCCATGGTCTACGGCGGTGACGGGTACAGGGGCCACGAGGGAGGCTACTAAGACCAGGGCGGTGGACGCGCGTGGAAAGCGGTGTGGAAAACGGTGGAAAAGGCGGATGCGCAAGGGGAAAAGGTCGCGGTGCGTACGGGGGAGCGGTAGGTGGTGCCGTCGGCCTCGACGACCCAGCCGGCTTCCGCGGCGAGCGCGCGGAGCACGTCGTTGATGTCCGCGCGCGGGGGCAGGTTGTAGCCGCCGTACTTGCGCAGGCCGGCAAAGATCTTGGTGGTTATGGCGCGCCGCTGCCGCTCGCGCAGCTTCGTCTTCTCCTTCTCGCTCTCCGACAGCCTCGACGCGTCGCCCCCCCCTCGCGTTTACACATGGCGGCCGACGACGGCGACAAGCTCCCTGACGGCTTCATCCACTGGTAAGCGCGCTGCGGAGAGACGCGAGCGACTGAGGAACGAGGCTCGAGCAACCGAGAAAACGAGACGCGAGCGGCTGAGCTGTCCGCCTGTATTACGCTCGGTGCGCTAGACTCGAGACTCGAGCGACCTACGGCGTCCAGTTCAACCTCAAGTTCGGCCACGCCACCGTCACCGTCGTAAGCAACGTGCGGCTCAGTAGCCGACTGAGAGGCGAATGGAGGCGACGCGCATAGCCGTCCAGGTGGGTTCTAGGTAAGACGAGTTACTATTCACTAGAAGAGACGAGGAGGCCGAGGCGAGGAGCTAGCCAAGGAATCCTGGAGAGAAGATATTCCCTGTCAGTTATCCTCGTTTTCCCTCGTGTGGCAAGTGGAATGTCTAAAGTGAGTGAGATGTTTCTGGCGCAGCACCTTTTGCAAGATGGTTAGCAAGGCGAATTGAGAATCGTGCGAGGGAGGAAGGGCACGGGAGGAAACGAGGCCATGGTGGCGAAACTGACAGCAACAATAGCGGCGGGGCGTGGAGGAAGCGTGGAGGGGGAAGAGGGGGAAGGGAACTAGGCGAAAATGGATGCAATGCAACCAATGCAGGACGAACGAAAGAAACGACTGCACGGACCAGGTTGGTGCTGAACAGTACCAGCCGAGCCAAGC